TCCAACAAAAAATCCGAGTTGTAATGTGAAAAGTTCGGCGTAGTTGAAAGGGGTGAAAAAAGAGGTGAAACTCAGTACAACGATTGGCATTGAATTGGCAAATTAAATGAAAAAGAAGAAAGAAAACGAAAGAAAAAAAAGACACACAAATGCCGCAAAGGAAATGTGATACAAGCACTATGAGTACTGGGAAACGGAATGGATCACAGGAAAAAGAGTGGTAAATAGCCTCATTAATTCGCTCCTCAATCAGCTGTTGGATGGCTCAGCGTCCACTGTATAATAGCTAAGATGTGCTCCAGAAACCTGTGATCTACTCGGCTTTCCAATCTTGTTCCAGTAAGAAGAAATTATTTGTTTTCTAATTAAATTTAAGTATCCGATTTGTGTCAAATATTCACCGTATCGCACGATAACCTTTTGCCACTCTGAAGGTAATGTCATCATGCCTCTCTCATAGAAACTCTTGTCTCTATATTGGCAAAAAAAAAATAAGGGACAATCGATTTCATTCCGGTTCTTCACCAGCAAAATCATGCACAGTAGAGAGGAACAGATGGCAAACACTTAGTGCGAGGTCCGGACAAAGCTCCCCGACCTTCTGACGAGTCATTATCGATATGTATATTCTTATCTTGTCTGGTTAAAACACCATACCCCGCCTGCTGGTCAAATCTGTGTGCTTCTGGGACATTGCTTCCCTCCGATGGACCAATCGTTGACAGTGCAGGTCCGTGTAAAAAAGTTCACCACAGAGGAGCAGCTCACAGTGTATGATTCCTTGTCAATCCCACCAAAAACTCACAACAAAATCTTCCTGGCTTCCAAAACAATTCTGGCTTGGAGATTATTTGTGCTGGCTGGTCGAGGCGTAGCTATCACGACCGCTTTCATTAGACGTTGCTGTAAGGGATTCACTTTTCATCATCAATCACCATCCCCTTCAGAAATGGATTGATGCTGGTACGTTTCAGATTTGGCTCGTAGTTCGAAATTTGCTTCAAGAGGTATTTTTTCGCTTCAACTCATGTGGCACCCATACATCGAGCGGAAATGGGGCATCAGTAGATGGCGAGCTTGTTTCCTTCAGCAACATCAAAGTGGCGGCAGCCGTAGTTTTACCGGCAGAGCTGCTAAAGTATTCCCATTCTTGGGGAATAGTCCTGCCCCCTGACGCATTTAAGTCAGGCGTGATATGTGAAAGCTTAAAGTCCACCGTTAACCGAACGATTCGACCTTATCAGCGAAGCTTCAAACCTGGCTAATTAACAGATAGGAGTTAACGAGAGGAAACGAACAATTCAAGGACATCCACGCATCAGCAACGGCGTATGTGCAGTGAGCTCTACGAGATATACAAACGACAATCACAAGTTTATTTTATTTTTAAGAGATATCGGCTAAGACACGTCGTCCGTATGGGGAATTACACTCCAGCTTTGAAAGTTTTCGACGGAGTTTCTGCCGGCGTAAGCCGAGGCAGGGGAAATCCGTTGGAAAGATTAAGGAACCTAGCTTGATGGTTTCACCTGGCGAAAGGCTAAGAGAAGAGACGAGCGACGGGCTCGGGAACCACTAGAAGGATCCACGGAACGGGTCTAGAGACAATTGATGGTCTAGTGATGTGGAAAACTGGCTTTACCGAGAATGTTTCATGCAAGAACCTCTTATATTAATATCAGGACTCAAGTTTCGCGCTCCAAACGGCTAAAAGAAGTTAGTTTTCGAGAGGAGATATGATGACGTCTCCTGAGTTCTGGGAGTTGAATTAATATTCTTACGTGCATAGAGACCTCATAAGAAGAGATTTATTTTAGCTGCTTCATCTACAGCTACACACGAAATCACTTATTTACCTGAAGGATAATTTACGGTCAATAAAACAAAACAAACATGTGATGCTCGCCCGAAGCAAAATACCAAATCGTTAACCTGTCCGCCCCTATTTGAAAAACAAACCCATCAATTAAGATATACCACAGCCTGCGCCGACCGTATTGCAGCCATAAAAAGTTGGCCAACAAAAGAAACAACGAACGGGCCACACAAGGATATGCGTGGATAGCGAGCGGCGGCCATCGTTGTGTCGGCATGTTGATGTGGCGGTTTAGCGCCTGCATCAAAGCATAGCAAGTAGCGCCAATCAACCAATCAGTGGCTACTGCCACATGACCTACATACTCGTATGTATGTACATACCGTACGTACCGGTAATCTGCCGCCGGCACTGTGGTCTCACAGATCATACTGATATCAAACGCCTGCGCTTGTATGTCCGTCGGGTCTGCTCCTCGGTAGGTCAACACTAAATAAATACAAATTTACTTGTTTACGGGTAGGTCTTCAGCTTTGGACATGCGTTCGCACCATTTGATTGGTATCTACACTCATCAAAGCGTAAAGGTGACTGCGCAGAAGCCACTCAAAAGACATGTTGCACACATGGCCATGGCCGACAGCCGACAGTCGAGAACCCGGCAATCGACCGTCTGTTCTGTGTGTATTTATGGCCTACTAAACGGCCATTTCTGCCTGCCACATAAATCAGTAGCAAGAATATTCTACGTACTAGGCATAGCAGCAGCCGTGTAGAGACCAAAAGCAGGTTGTGTACAGAAGAAAGTGTGTGTGTGTGTGTTTGTTTCATGACATTGTAATGACTTCATCATGACAAAATTATCACTCACTCAGGCATTCGTATAAAATTTTATTGCTGTGAGAATTGAGAAATGGAGGAGAAAGGTTGTACATCAGCGATTCGATACACGCGCCTGAGGAGGTCTAAAGGTGGCTAAGTGCGGGCATTTGCAGCATGAAGTACTAAACGAATTAAGACACTTACTTAAGTCTCACACAGTTCGAATTGGCTGAGCTGAGGAGACATATGTCTGTTCAAAATTTTTAGTAACTGATCGCGAAAGAGGCAGCTCGAAAAGAGCTGACAAATTTATAGCGGAGACTTTCGTGTACACAATCCGAAGGACGCTTCTAATACAAATAGCGTCCACCGAATCTACCGATGTAATGATCTCCCGATTGAGGGGCAACTAGCTAGGATAAAGTCAGCGAGGATCTTACAGCGGCTGCTTTACATCCGAGGGTATCAAATAGATTGGAATTTGCGAACCATCGAGATCCTATCACAAAAGACATTTCTTAATACAGAAAAAATATTAAAACCACTCCAACAATTGAGTTCTTCTGTCTCCGATTCTAGGTCTGTCGCTCCGTAAAATGTTCCAGTCAACTGCGTTATGCATTCCAACGAAATTCAATTGGTTCTACTTTGGATTGCGCAAGTAATTGAAAAGCAAAGTCCTCTCTCGGCGTACAAAGACCAAACTCTTCAAGTCGCTCATCAATACCGTGATGCGAGATTTTGAGGAGGCATGAACGATGACAACATCTGATGAGTCGGCTCTAGGAGTCTTGGAGAGAAAGGTTTTGCGAACGATTTATTGTCCTTTAGGAGTTGGGAGTTGGGAACAGCATTGACCTCAGTCGAAGGAACGCTGAGCTGTAAGAGATATTCCCAGGAAGACCTCCAATTCGTTAGAAAGACCAGGTAGAAAAAGGCCTGGCTGTACTTAGTATTTCCAACTGGCTAAAAGAACGTAGGAATGCCGCGCAATTGTTGAGTCGGCTTTAAGTAAGCTGTGTCTACGACACTTAAGTTGAGAAAATTCATCGCAGCAGCTCTATAATTTACTGAGTGAAAGATTTTGCGGAATATTTATGGCTCTCTGCTTTGTAGTGCCAGATGGGATTCAGCTTGATTCAGCTGGTTACATGGACTCGTAAAGGGATAGTAATTTTCAAGGTTATGGAGATTCTGCGGGTAAAGTAGTTCTTTAGGTAAGAAACACCCACTGGATCTAGGCTGGTACATTTATTTTAGAACCTCTATTGCTCAACCATCACTCAGTAAAATCCTGTTGTCCTGTCAACTCTCAAGATAGCCCGTTCTACGTACCGGAGTTGATCCGGATTTTATCCGGCCAAGGGATTTCACTCTTACGGCGACCTAACTCCGTTTAGGTCAACAGGTAACACTAATATAAGTTCGCCAACGGAGCAGCACCTCTTCTTCAGATCTTCTGAGCTGGGTCGGATACAACATAATCCGCAAGGATCGTTGTTGTTGTAACTGCAAAAATATTCCCCATAGTACTTTTTGGGAAATGTTGCGGGAGTGACAATCCTTGGCCGTATAAAAAATCCGGATCATTCCGGTGTAAAGACCCGGCTGTCACGGGAACTATTGGATTTTAGTCGCCTCTTACCACAGACAAGACTAACCGCGACTAAATTCTTGAACTCCTAACCCGTGAGTATAATCCTAACTGCATATAGTGGGAGTTTCCTCTCACTCAATCTCCGCCATTTCCTCAAAACGTCTCTTTCTCTGATGTGTTGTATATATTGTGATACTACTAAGGGTGATCCTAAAGAGCCACACACGCTAATCGAATGCTTGGAGTTTGCAAAACTATGCAGTTGCCGCATCTTAACTCCCGCAATCTCACTCAGGTCTCCAAAGGTAGCCGCCTCTAGAGAATTTAGTTTACTCCTCCAAAGTGCGGGGCATTCACAAAGAAAGCAGCTTCAAGTTTCCGCTACTTCTTCTTGTCAATTGGTATATATATATATTATAAGTTCATATATTTAATTATAATTTTTTTAATTCTTAATCACCTTGTTGGGTAGTAAATAAACGTTCCACATTCTAAATTGGTTGCTGGCTTGGCTTTGAGAATCCAACTATTCTATTACATTAATTTTTAACTAACACAGGGTGACAACAGTGAAAAGAAAAGGTCAGAGGATATTTTTTTTAATTCTTTTTCAATAACCATTAAATGAACATAAAATCTTAAAAACCTCTTCGTTGTTGACATAACCTTGTTTATTTACATTTTTCATTTAAATTTCAAATAATTTCTGGCAACTCTCCCCTGCAGAGCAACTGCCCACCCGATTTGCCACTGGCAACGTCAAACACACGTTCGTCTGTCTCTCCGACAAAGTAAGCAGGAAAAATTCTGTTAAATTATTTCGATTAACTTTCAATATTCAATGTCGCTTAACGAAATTTAATACGAAATAAATAAATAAACTAAATTTACTGTGTGTGATTCATAAGTGTGAAGGTGAGTGTGCGAATTTAAATACAGCAATAATACAGAAAAGTGCTAGTGCCTGTTAAAATAGAAAGGGTGAAAAGAATTCATAAGCGTGGCTGTCACTGATGGAGCGCCAGAATATTGCCGGCAAAAAGCCATCGTCGAGTCATCATCACTCCACTACACCACCGCATTTGCCAACAACATCGAAAAAAAAAATAAAAAAATAAATGCTCTCAGCAAACTGAATTTGTCGTTACGAAAATAATAAAAATTTTATGAATATTACCGAAAAAAAAACAATTCCACTGACTGACGCATTTTCTATTTTCTTTTCAATTACACACTTACAAAAGCCAATAAAAAAAAGCATTAATTTTGTACGAAATGGAATTTCTAGTTAACCAACTGAATTCAACAATAGACAATAGCAACAACAAAAACAGCGACAACAAGGGCGATTTGCACAATGTAGGCATATTGAATTATTTGTTTGAAAATGTATGTATGTAGCATGTGTTTTGAGTGCGTTGGTGGAGGAGGAGGAGGAGGAGGAGGAGGAGGAGGACGGGGTGGCACTTAAACAAAAGAAAAGAAGGCAGCGGGAAAACAATAGCGGCTACAGCCAGTCAACGCATGGCATATTGCTGTATTGCTGCTAATCAGTTTGCGCGAATATTGTTTGTTGTGGCCAGCACTATACTTGTGTGATGCAACATGTTCGATGGTTTGTTGCCAAAGCTATAATGAGCGAGTGAATTTTAGCGCCTTTACGGTTTGTGTTTTTCTTTTTTTTTTTATTCTTTTCACTTATTGAGCGCAGTTTGGCGTTTTTTTTTTTTGAAAGCAGGAAATATTTTATTAATTGCGTTGAGTGTAAAAAAGTCAAAATACGAGTATTAGAAAATATTATGAAGTTTTTTTTTCTTAAATTGAAATTGACAAAATACAATTATTTTTTCATAATTTAAAACTTCAATAATAGTGAAAAAGCATATTAAGCGTTTAAATATAACACAGTTAAAATTAAAACTGGCAGCAAATATTAATGTGAGTTGTGTTTGATTGAAATTAAAAAAAGATGTGGTTGGAAACCGTTGGTTTAGCATATACACGGCCGCATATACTAAGGCAATACTCAGTAAAATTTTTTGTTGTTCTTGCAGCTGTAAATAGTAAATCAAAAGTGTTGACTTTGAAATAAATTTAAATTGGCTAAAATGAAAATTGAATTGAAAAAGTTTTTTTTTTATTGTGTTAAAAATATCTTTTCGTAATAAAGAAATTATTTTCAGTTTACTCCGTTACTCCAGCTTCTGCACTGCAAAATGCAAATTATGTTGCAACGCCCGCAAATTAGTGCACGTGTGGCACAACATTGTGACATTGAACTTCATTGCCGTACATAAACATGGCGTGCCACCACAGCGCTCCGCCAGCAACCAAACAGCGCATCTACCTGTCGTAGGCGGGAATATCTATTTGTTGTCAGTCTATTGCTAAAATTATATATACATATGTACATGTATGTACACGTATGTGAGCACCTGATTTAACGTAGATATTTACCTGCCACCCGCACTGATGTAACATCAACTCACACGTTCACACGTGTTGTCATTTGTTGGGGCAGTTCACCCAGCATCGTACCAACTCAATTTGCGCGCTTGATCGAGTGCCTCAACGGAAAAGAGCAGTGCCGTGCCGTGCCGTCCCATCCAATTGATTTGCTTCGATTGCTCAATCGCATGGCGAATACTTGTACTCGTGCCATATTGTTTTTATTTTGGGCATGTTGCTGTTGCTTTTACTATTTACTGTGGGTCTTTGTGGCATGCCACCACGAAAATAGCTTCAGTTATTTTTGTGCGCTCCGCCGTTATTCACAAAATCGCATAGACGACTAGACTAGAACGCGGGAGCTTCCATTGCAAGTACATAACGCAGAAAGCGAGCCGAAAAAGATTAGTCAACTTTGTATTGGATTTATCAATTAAATATTGCATCGTCGGACGATGAGTGAGAAAGTGCGAGGCAATGTGGTTGGAGAGAGTGGCAGAGAAACGACATTGCAACAAGTTGTTACTTTTGAATTACCTTCACGTTTTATTTATTTTTTTTTTATTTTTTTTTTTTTTCTATTTAATTTGATTTTTCTATTCAATTTGCACTTTATCTGCGACTATAACGTAATTAATTTGTGTTCTCTTTTATCTGCAGAAATCAAAATTCAAAGTGAAAATGGCACCAATTAGTGAAAAAAGGTCACAACCTCCAAATGCGAATCACGTCAAAGAGAATGGGCACACAAGTCATGGTCATGGTCATACGCATCTTCACACACATACAAAGGAGAATGCCAGCAGTAATGCGTCTGGGAAGAGTAACGGTGTGAAGACGAAAGGTTTAGAAATTCTTGATTTTCATGAATCATGGCTGGAGGAGGTCGAATTGTATAAGGATAAATTGTATGGGCAAAAGAATCTTTTGCTCTCATCACACAATCATGCACACACACCGCATGGTTGTAAAATCGATGCACCCAATCATTATATCAGCATGAATAATAAGTATGTGGTTAATGTACCAACCGGTCACAGCGAACATATTAACAATAATAATCATATACCGAATGGTGCGAGTGCGAGTGTTAAACGTCAAAGAGGCGGTGGTGGTGGTGGTGTTGCTGCTGCAGCATCTGCGCTCACATCTGGACCGTCAATAGATCCATCGATTATCAATAATGCCGCGCTTAATAAGACAAATCGGATAAGCATTCGAAGTAATACGGCGGCACCATTAACAACACCCACGGAGGCGACAGCGCCAATGACTGGCGTGCAGGTATGTTGTCCACACATCAGTGTAAATTCAAAATCAGGCTAAAAAATTTTTATATATTTGTTGTTTTGTATAGTAGATTACGCTGGATCGATTTGAAAAATTCAAAAAGCTAAGCAGAAGGAATTTTTGGACTTCTTATGTTCAAAAAGGTGCGAAAGAAAGTTCAAAATTCGTTACAAAGGAGTATTTGATGCTCTTTCGTACAAAATTTGTTGTCAAAAAATGAGTTTTAATAATTAATTTTAAGTTTTTATATGCAAGGAGCTTGTACGCAACATCAGAGTACGTAAAATCTACCTTTTGAAAGAAATTAGTTTTTATAATTTTTCTAAACAAAAAAGTTAAATTTTGAAAATTTTAATAATTAATTTAATTTTTGAGAATTTTTCGAAACAAAAATTTAATATTTGGGAATTTTGTAAACAAAAAATAAATTTTTGAAAATGTTTCAAAACAAAAAAATTAAATTTTGAGAATTTTTCAAAACAAAAAAATAAATGTTTGAGAATTTTTAAAAAGAAGAAAATTAACTTTTGAGAATTTTTCCAAACAAAATTTAATTTTCAAAATTTTCAAAACAAAACAATTAAATTTTGAGAATTTTTCAAAACAAAAAAATTAATTTTTGAGAATTTTTCAAAACAAAAAATTTAATTTTTGAGAATATTTAAAACCAAAAAAATTAATATTTGAAATTTTTCAAAACAGAAAAAAATAATTTTTTGATAATTTTTCAAAACAAAAAAATAAACTTTTGAGAATTTTTCAAAACAAAAAAAAATGATTTTTTGAGAATTTTTAAAAACAAAAAATAAACTTTTGAGAATTTTTTAAAACTAAAAAAATAATTTTTTGAGGTTTTTTGAAAACAAAAAAAAATTTAGAATTTTATAAAACCAAAAAACTAATTTTTGAAAATTTAAAACAAAAAAGTTTATAAGTTTTAAACAAAATTTAAGGTTATGTTTTTTCAAATCGATTCAGGCATTATGTAAAAAATTTTTTTATTACATATTTTCAAAAATGTTTATTTGTATCTAACCTCTAAATTAACCACATTGTAGTATTTGGTTTATATGTAACTAACCACCAATGTGTTTGTATGTACCTTTTTCCATTCTTTTCCAATCCACCACAAAATAAAAAAAACCAAAAAACACCTTTACTACGCCTGTGATGTTTGAAAAAAAAAAAAACCCCACAACTCAATGACCAATGAAACCTGGACACCCGCCACGCGTTTCAACGACACTTGATATCCCGGACACCTTCCATGCGTCTCAATGATGTTTTTTCGACTCCAACACACTGTTTCCAATGCGACGCCGTTTCTTTTGTTTTCGAAAATCCTTGTTTGACGTTGCCGTTACGCGCTGTTTTATTGTTGTTACTACTGTTTTTGTTTTGATTTTTGTGATTTTCAATGTGCATGCGCCCTAACCGCTATAGTTGCTTTTAAAGCGACCCCGTGATGAGCCGGTCGGAGCGCCCAAAACTGCTGCGCATAACTCCAAACGCCATTCCCATCCTCACCCGCAAGCTACAACAACAACAATAGCAGCATCAACAACCATACCATTAACTAGCACTCCACGCCGCTCAGCATCGCCACCCAAACGCGCTGTCGGTGGTGCTGGCGGTGGCGGTGGCGGTAGCGGTGGTGCCTCAAATGGTACTGCCACTAATGGCGCCACTAACGGCCTTAATAGCAATGATAAATCATACAATTCATCCACCTCGAAAACGCTGAGCAAAATCATAGTCAATCAATTTCACGCTAGTAGTCTGCTTAATCATAATGAACGCAAATTGGAATTGCTTACACAAAATGGCTTAAATAAAATGGCAGCAACCGCTTATGAGACTAGCGTTTATGCCTCACAATATATGCCGCACGATAATCGCACTTATCACAATCGTCATCATCCAATTGCCGATAACGGTGCTGCTACTTATGTGGGCGTCTCTTTAGCTAAAGGCGGTGATGGTGATCGGGGTAGACAGCCTAACAACAATAACACTGCCGAGGATGATCCATGTGCTGGTGAGTTGTGTTTGTGAGAAAATAAATTCAATTAAAAAAAAATTTATTTTGTAGTAAAAATCTTTTCTCCTCTCTCCTTACGCACTCCAGCCATCGATGATGTGAACGATTATACGGATAGTGACTCGGAAGAAGACTACACCGGCCATCCATTCTACCTCGCTAGTGATGAAAATGAGACGCAACAAAGTCGCAATATACGCTATCTGCCCACACACTCGAGTACCGATGTAACGGAGGATAGTGAAGCGGACACGGAAGTGAGCGAGTACTTTAAACCGGAGTGTATATTGTCGCCAAGTATTTTTCCAAATGTGCCGCCTTATTTAAATTTCTCCTCGCACGCGGATAAGGGCCCCGTAGTGCCGCCAACATTACATCGTGTGCTAAAGTGGAAACTAAGTCCTGTTATGCCGAAGATAGTCAAGCGTGTGGTGCTCAACTCAGGGTTTCGCATAATTAAAAGTGCGTTTGTATGGGTTTTTGACATTTAGAGCGCACGAAATTGTTATATTTTTATGTATTTTTTTTTTTTTGCTTTCACTTCAGACACCACCGACTGGATGGCCGTATGGGAGAAACATATGAAAAGTCCAGGTTTTCGCACAATACGCTCACATCAAAAGTACAATCATATGCCCGGTTCGTTTCGAATCGGACGCAAGGATAGCATGTGGCGGAGTATACATAATAATATGAAGAAGTTTGGTACAAAGGAATTTGGTTTCATGCAAAAGTAAGTCGAAGAAGCAGCTCTTGATTAATATGAAAACGGTAAAAATTTTTTAGCTTATTTACATATGTACACGATACATACCAAGCACAGTTCATCAACCAGGCTCCTCGTTATTTTTTAATAATCGCTTTCTCGGTTTCATTGTTGCTTTTGTTGAGCCCAAGAAGTTGATCTACGCATCAGCGGACCAAAAATCGTTCTATTGGCTTTCAAAAAGGTCTCTAGGAGGGTCGTTCTAGCCTGAGCCTACGCTAAGCCGATCTCCTAGATTCTCAAAACCACCACCTATAGAAGACAACGAGCTCGAGCTGCCTCGAGAGACCCGCGTGACCCTGACACAACTCAGGTCGGGATACTGTAGCAGGATAAACTTCTACTTACCCAACGTATGCCCTGTGAGTGGAGAGTCTCCACACTACACTAACCACCCCTTCACATGCTCTCTCGAACCAACTTATCTAATCACCTCTCTCCCTTTGGTCCAACCTCGTCGAAATAGTTCGTTTCCTGGACCTCCCATTAGTTGACCTCAGTTACTTAGATTGATTTTGAACCTGTCCTTAAGCGGGGCTAACGTAGCTGCTACTACAACAACAACATCCTCAAATCAGGGAAATTTTATGAAAAGTCCTGCAACCTCTGCCTTTGGGCCACCGTCAAATCAGTATTAAATCCAACGAGATGCGGCTGAAAATTCTTACGGTGACCTCGTCTCGTCGAACTAAGTAACTGCAAATAAGCAATAAGTAACTCGCCATCAGTACGAACTTCCCAACATCAGCAGAAGTCTTTGACCACTCTGACAATATCTCCGATACTAAAACCGGGGGAAACTGTAAAAAGAAGGAGAATCATCTCGGTTGAGGTCTTGTCGCTCCCGTCTTTTACTCACTGTCTGAGTCCAGCAGCACATCATTATGACTTAGGCGAAGCGCATCATAACTGCACTAAAAGCCATAAACACCCCTGTAATGTGGTCCTGGAACCAATGTTGTCGAACTTTTAGGGTTCTTTTTACTGTCGGAGTAGAAGAGATGGATAATGATTTACCTGAGTTTTAAATAGTCTGGGAGAATTTTGAAACTCCGATAAATTAAGCAAAGGATTACGCAGGGAAGTGTACACTGCCCACTATAGCTTGACTTGTATGCACATTTCGAAGCTCTGTTCACCACCAGAGGTCGCATCCCTAATGTTACCTTCTGACCTAAACGGGGTCAGATCGCCGAAAGGGTGTCAGCTCTTTGTCTGATAAAATGCACAGCTTAGGTCTTATTGTAGCCGGTTAAACTCTTATCTATCCAGTCACGATCCCAACATACTCAACGTATGCTAAGCATGTGGAGAGCCTCCGCACGACAATAACCAACTCTTCATATGCCCTTTAAGCCGACAAATCCAATCCACCTCTCCCTCTGGTCCGAGCCCGTCAAAACAACACGTTTTCTGGACTTCCCGTTATATGACCACGGTGACTTAGATTGATTTTGAACCTGTCCCTAAGCAGGGTTAATGTAGCCGTTACAACAACAACAACAACATGACCCCCGACTCTTCTAAAACCCTCTCTTTGGTACGAACCCGTTTTCTTTGCCCTCGCTTAATGAACTCGGTGACATCCCAAGCGCTACAAAAACATTTTTGACCGCCTTCGAACTTTTTTGAAATTCAATAAATTCTATTTAAAACAACTTTTTCTCTCACCCAGATCCTACGTTATGCCTGATGATCTGGAAAATCTACGTCAGGTCTGGCCGAAAAATGCATCAAGATTGACGAAATGGATTGTAAAACCTCCAGCAAGTGCACGCGGCACAGGCATACGTATTGTAAATAAATGGAGTCAATTTCCCAAAGATCGTCCGCTAGTAGTGCAGAAGTGAGTATGTGTGTGCGTGTGTGTGTGGCTGAGTGTATGCATAATCGCTAAAAATACATTTGCGCGCTTTTTAATTTTTATTTCTTCTTCACTTTTATTTTTCTTACAATTTCCCTTTGTATTTGCTTGCAGATACATTGAGCGTCCACTACTTATCAACGATAGTAAATTTGATATGCGTATTTATGTGGTGCTTACATCAATAAATCCTTTGCGTATATACATGTACAAAGATGGTTTAGCGCGTTTTGCGTCAGGTGAGTTTACATTTTGATGCTTTTTATTGTATTTTCTGAATTCTTTTCGCTCTCTTAATTATCTGATTATCTCTCCCCCGCAGTGAAATACAGTTCGGAGCTGACTACTCTTGATGATCGTTGTATGCATCTAACAAATTATAGTATCAATAAATTTTCACAAAATTATTCGAAAAATGAAGATTTCAATGCGTGTCAAGGACACAAATGGACATTGCAATCGTTGTGGTCATGCCTGGAGACACGTGGCGTCAATACAAAACGTCTCTGGGCGACATTACGTAATTTGGTGATAAAAGCGATTGTAAGCGGTGAATCGGGGCTGAATCGCATGTATCGTCAAAATGTTAATTTCCGTTATAATTGTTTTGAACTATTCGGTTTTGATGTACTACTCGATGAGAATATTGTACCATGGTTATTAGAAATTAATATATCGCCTTCATTACACTCAGAACTGCCATTGGATTTGCATGTGAAGGGCCCACTCATACAAGCTGTGCTCAATACAGCGCTCTATCAGGTGTGCGCAACAAAGCTTTATATGTACGTCTGTATGTAAAATTTGCCTTCTAACACATTTTTCTTCCACCCCATACAGGTGCCGCCAAAACTCAATGAGAAACAACAAAAAGACATACAACAAGAGCTAAAACTGAGCGGTCCACTCTGCCATGATAAGCGCATCTTCACCACTTGTCTCACTGCCGAGGAGGTGCGCAAACATAATCAATTCACCAATCGTTCAATAGAATTTCGCGAGGAATATGTCGACACCATACTCGATAATCTACTGCCAGATGATATACGTTGTTTGATCATCACCGAGGATGAGTATGCGCGTTGTGCGCCACTCGAACGTATCTTCCCCACACCCGAAACACACACCTACCTGAAGTTTATCGATAATCCGCGTTACTATAATCGCCTGTTGGACGCCTGGGAATCGCGTTATGGTAATTTCCGTGCACAGGGTATTGAGCTGTTGAAGCGCTATTGCGCTGATGGCTATCATTTGAAAGTATCCGATGCGGCACTGGAGAAGGTATGTGTGTGTGTGTGGCGTTTGAAGACTTTCCTAGTTTTCCAAGTTTCATTTCAATACATTTTTTTTTTTTTTTTTCATTTATGCAGGAACCCGATGTGGCATTAACCGAGATCGATATGTTGCATCAGAAGAAGAGCGACGATCAAATGACACTGGTACCCGATAATACAGCAGGCGACAGCGCATTGGCTTCCAAAGCGGGTTCGCCCGAATCGACGGCGGACACTTCGGTGCGTTCGCAACACTAATACCAACAAATGCTCGTCAGTGCTTTAGGTGACATGCTAGGTTTATGGTATGCCACTAAATGCTCGAGTTGATATTGTGCACAGGCGTAAGTGAAGAAATATGCGTTTAATATATATATTTGAAATTTTAAATATCTACCTTTTCTTCTTCTTCTTCCTTCTCCTCCTCTTCCAGCTACTGTGAGAGTAAGGAACTAAGACTGAACTTAGCTATCCAACAAATTAACAAACAACCAACAGGGAAATCTAAATGAGAAAGTAACCATAATACGTAAAAAAAACAACAAATATTATTGTATAATTTATTCGAAAATGATTGTCAATCAAGTCAACAAATTGAAGTCGTTGAAATTTAGTAAATTTTTTTGGAATTAAACTTAGGAATTCGCGTTGGCTTTTTTAAGCAACAACAATTACAGCAACAGCAACTACCACATACATATGCCCACAATCACATATACGAGTATACGTACGTACATCATATGAATCTAGTGCAAAAAAAAAAAAAACAAAAAAAAAACATTTAGCAACTAATAGTATCTAATGATAATTATTAAAGATATGAAAAATGTATTTTGCTAAGGATATTTAAACAAAAGAAAAAGTGTAAATTAAAAAACAAAATCACACAAGACTCGCAAAGACAAATTCGCTGAAGGTAGGCGAGATGGAGCGGTGTGCTTGTATGTATGTAAATGCGCGTAAAATATTACTACAAATAATGATTTTAATTTTCTTTGTTTTATTTTCCATCTCCCGAAACAAAAAAAGAATGAAAGAATTAAAAAGAAAAATATATTTAGGCGAGCGCCGCAGTCAGCAAGGGGGTTTTTCTTGCGTACATTACATTTATTTTACACTCACCAAATCATCAATCAATTTCATATATTCTTATGTAAGTACATAACCTCTTACATTACATACATACTTATTCGAAGACTTAAATTCAGAGCCCAATAGGGACTTCCAAACCGGATTTTGTACGATTATCGAGCTTTTAAAATGCAGTTCATTCAGAGTCTCACGTGAGCTGAATGAACTTGCGAGAAGTTCATTTTCTGTTAACAGAAATTCCCTCGAACTTAACGAAGAAGCGTAAGAAGTTTTCTAAATTGGTTACCTACCGTGTGTCTTGCTCGAATTTTTAGTAAGCTAATATTCAGGCACAGGCTTTATATTAAATAAGTTAAGACCACCACTCTCGGCAGGGAATGTCAACCCCTCCAAGTGTATTTCTGACATGAAATAAAGCTCCTCATAAATATCATAAATATCGACCATTTGCAGGCGGCTTAGTATAAACTGTAGGTCCTCCATTTGTTGGAAAAATATCAAGACACAAAACCACAAGTTCGAGGAGAGCTCAGCGGAAAATCGCTTCAGCGGTTACAAAGCGGAAATTATATTACATTTTATAAATTAAGAACATCTTTACTTATATTGAAAACAAAGTGGCTAAAAGAGAAAAAAAATTTTTTTTTGCGAAATCCCTGAGGAAGCGCCCATAAGTCACGTGCTCATATTATAGACCGTTTCCGACAACTTCCTCCGTTCATATGCCCCAATTTTGGCTTCCTTGCAACACAAACGATACGTTGCTCGCCCTTTATCGCTCTTTATCGCCTCTTGATTGTTGTTGCTGTGGTCGCGGGATAAAAATCCGGTTCGTTCTGATCTAAAGATCCGACCGCCGCGGGAATTTTTGGAATTCTTGAACCCGGGGCGAGCTGCGTGGCTTATAAATAAAATTTTTCCATGACATTTAGGATCAGTTTGTAGGGAGGTTAGATTAGATTAATGTGGAGCTCACTTAGCACACCAAAACTGAGCGATCGACCCATCTTTTGGCCTTGACAGAATGCGTACTGGCTGTGCTTTTTTCCTTCACTTTTTTTTTACTTGGAATGCGTGTATAACCAAATGAGTCCTTGTAATGCTGTCAGGCCATTACTCTCAAAAGCAGAGAAAGTGTGTTTCAAGTGCACTAAGCAAAGCTTCATACGTTCTAGTATATAATAATATAAAGACGATCCAATACGAGTACAATTTTAGTTATATTGTGAGTGTCTATTGTTGTCTGGCTGTCACCAAAAATATATATTTTCCTGAAAAATTTTCATCCCAAGTATGTATATATAATTATATAATTGGCGCTTTGTAACCGCCGAGCTCCTCCTCGAATTTTTGGTTTTGCGTCTTGATGTTTTTCCATCAAATGGAGGGATATACAGTTTATACTTAGCCACTTCCGAACGGCTGATAATTTTCTAATGAGGAGCCTTTATTTCATGTCCGAAATACACTCGGAGGGGTGGACATTCTCTGCCGAGCGGCGACCGTAATTAGAAACTTTAACTTATGTATCAGCCGGCTCTATTATAATAGCCCAAACACATCCCAAAAACACACTACAGTGATAAGACAGATTAAAAAATGGGTATGGGGAAAAAACTTGCTCCTGTGTGGTGCCGGTTCAAGAATGTCCCGCAGAAAGACATGTCTGTTGAAAGAATTGAATTGGTTCTCGAACTTAGGCGCACCTCATCTGAAGGACTCCTTGTCTTTAGCCAATTTAGGCACGAAAAGGCCATTAAACATGACTCCATGGTGTTCCCTATTGGCTAACAATTTGACCAGCTTCATTTTTCAAGCAGAATCGATCAATTATTCCCTCTGCCCAAAAAGAGACTTTTTGAGAATATAAGCTCTTCTCAATAGTGGCTTGTGGTTACAGCTCTAACTGGACTTATCCAGATCTTCTTTGATACTCTACTTCTTAGCACCTATAGGGTAATCGGTGCGCACTATACGGCGCCTCTGAGGATACCCATTTTCGACTACAGTAAACATGGTGCTAAACGTATCCATTATTGCTCGAAATTCCAACTCTGCTGGGCGATTATGTCTACTGAATATTTGATCCATCGGGCGATGTATCGCGCGAATCCAACCATTTATTTTCGTATTGTTCTTCCGCATTAATTCTGTTCATTATGAAAATGCCAAACCAAGTAAAAATCAAGTAACAGCCGAAAGAAAAAAGACCCAACTCCGAAAAAAGTATTGCCCCATTGAAAACCACACGTCTAAAAGTTGCACGCTTTACTTCAAGTTAGGGTTGAGAAGAATAAATCGCCTGCAATTAGCTCAAGAACAACTGTAATTATTGCAGCTGTATGCCAAAGAAACCCAGGTTTCTCCATGCCTCGTTGTTCCACAAACGTCATGACACCGTATTTTGCATAAAGACTAGGTTATTAAGGTTTATAAAGTTCATTTAGCACAAGAACTTAAACCGCCCGTACATCAACAACGTCGTCTCTTTGCTCATTGGTTCTCTGAAATGCAAGAAAATGATCCGGAATTTTTTTGAAAAGTAATCTTGACAGATATAAGGGCGTCCATTGCCATCTCGATGGCCTCTCCTTCCTCAACGTGTAACGATTTGGCGCGGTTATTGGACCTTATTTTTTCGAAATTGAATGTACGTATGTCTTTATGGTGAGATGATTAATGATTTCTCATGACCGGAATCGGATGTTATTGATCTGGTCAATATATACTTTCAACAAGATGGCGCTACGTGCCATACAAGCAGCGAAGCCAACATTCTTTCGAGGAGAAAAGTTTCGCTGAATATCGAAAAAACATCTCTTTGAGTTTAGAAATTTGTATTTGAATCTTGAATTGGTTTAGTTTTTGTATGCATCATTGCTATTATGGCAGCTCTGTTGAGGCAATAAACTAGTAAACAGTTTGCTTCTATATTTCACAGATGGCGCTGTGACTTGGGTTGTAGTCTTTGCTAGATTTTTAAAGTTTTGGGGAATCATGACACCTTCGCTGTAAATTCAATACCAAAAATTTGAATGAACTAGCGCTGGCTGTGGATAAAAATGGGACCGGCAGCATTCGATTCTCTATTATTTTATTATTATTGTTGTATTTATCTTAAAGAAGATGTAATCTTTAAGGCCCGTTCGCCTGTTTTTTTTTTAGTTGAACGATGGAGGCTTTTCAATCGACATTTATTTCAGTTCCTCGCCTGCCTCTCATCCCATTTTCCCCCCAAAACACTCCCTGATGCTAAGTCACCTAAGTATTTGTGTTTGTATAATTAGACATTTCTATTTCACGCTGTGTGCATATAGAAAAAGCATAAAAAATAAATCAACCTAAAATTATGATCGCAAATGAAGTGTGGAAATTCGCGGCTTACAAGTCGCTGGTTGCAGCAACAATGTTGCCCCGTTAGACCGCAGGCGTATACCGAACGCATTCAAATAGTTATCATTTGGAGTAGCATTGTGGCCACAATTGTGCGACGTAACTATATAAATATATCGCTGTATCGCTATATGTATGTACATCTACAAGTGCTGCACTAGAGTTCACTTAGCAGACCAATATTTTATTATAATGACAGTGGCAATCGCAGCAATGACGACAATGATGATGAACTGCTTTATTAGATGGAAGATTGCAGCGAGCGGTGAGTGTGTGAGTGTGTGCGCATGCGCATGCGTAGCTTCTTCCCAAGCGGTGACATCGCAGTAGTATGCAGTAGAAGTTACTACTGAACGAGTTTGCAAAAACCAAAAACAAAAAAAAGTAATACAAATACTACGGCTCCACGGTAAATGCGCTGCACGTTCGACAATAAATAATATTTTTTTGAAATGTGAATTTTAAAAAGGATAAAATATGCCGGTCAACATGTGCATTAGCGCGTGATAAAATAAATGTGGTAGGGGTTTGATTGGTTAATTGCAAGGGGATATTGAAGACCTCACCACGGGCGGTATGTGTATAACTACTTAAGCGATTTTCGGCCGAGCCCCTCTTGAAGTTTATGGCATGTGTCTTGATATTGCCTCCGCAAGGTTGATAATTTTTATGAAGAGTTTTTTCTTTCATATCAGATATACACTGGGCGTTCTTGACCTTCCTTGCCGAATTAAATTTCCATCACTTTGAATGTTGGTCGCACCAGAACTCAAACTCTCATCTTCAGAAGCGCAGCACGCAATGTTAACCGCTCCTCCATTGCGACTGCGCCTTGTGTAGATTTATTTCGCTTCTCTGCTTATCCGAACCGTTCGCTTTCGATTTAGTGGATTGTTATAGTTCCTTTCACCTATGTCCACCCATCTCCATAAGGCTGGAGTTCGGTGCCCCGTAGAATATTTTGCGTCTCAATTGGCTGAAGGCTTTTGGAGATCTTCAGGGTAAATACCACGTGAGTGCTTCTACAAGAATGCAAGTTCTCTTTTGCTTAGCACTGGCAAGCGTTAGACGAGTCTGTAATCTCCACTGTCTGTTACACAGTAGTTTAGTGGTACGCCCTACATTGGTTGGTACAGCTCCAGTATTTTAAGTATTCGCCTAAGTTGTACTTTTTAAGCAACATTTGAAGCCACTCAAAGGTCTCAAAGGATCAGCTCACTCGCCTTTACGTTACATTATACATTCGTGGGATCAGGGACCCAAGTAATATTCACTGTGCTAACCCCTGATAGCCTATTTACTGTCCCTTTGTATGTTCTTACAAACTCAGAGTTCGTGTTGACACATTTAATTGCCGCTTGGCTGTCTACAAGAATTCTGATATATTTCCCTGTTAAAGTGGTTGGCCATTTTCTCGTCTTCAATAACTTCTACAATCTCTGCTTAGAAGACAGATTTGTTAATATTTAGTCTGAAGCTACCTTGCTTAAATGGACAGTCGTAG